AAGAAAGTTGAATAAGAGCACTAAAAATAATTTGATCTCTATAATACCTAATAGAAAGGTTGAAAAGCAAAACTCAAATTTAAAAAAAATGATGTTGAGAGGGAAAATAGAGAAGATAAACAAAGCAACTTTCCGCAATTCTGATTGTCCGAGATGCTAGTATTGACCCATGATTTTATTATTTTCAAATGTATGGCATTATCTGATAAAATTAAATAGTTTTAAAGAGATAAAACCCTAAAAAAAATGTGTATATATAGACTGCAGTCCATAATGTTTCCTTCAGTAAACTCCTAATTTCTAGCTATTTAAAAACCTAATTTCAAACCATAAATTTCAAAGGAAGGAACTCATAAAAATTCGTAATTCTGATTCAAAGTGAAACCCTAGCTTAGGGAAAGAACAAATTTTTTTCTAAACCCTGATTTTGTAAAAGATAAGTTTGCATTAAACTTCAAATTTGAAAGAAATTTTCAATTTATGTAGAAATATATCTCTACTACTTCGCAACAATGGTAAAAGATGATGAGCAACATACCTGAGAATATATGCTTCCTTTGTGATTAACCTGCCGGATATGCAGACAATACACACTCTTTTTTTTTTTTGGTAAATCAGTAGGGATAATGAACCCCTACCCATTTTTTTTTATTAAAGAACAGAAGAAAAATGTTACATCACGAAAGAAAACAAATGCAAGAAATTAACCATGCCTTTCAAGAGGGACATGGGCATTATCCCGCGAAATGAAGGGAGAGACAAAATCAGGGGGATGGGCCCACCAAACTGTGGCTTGCACCATGGATGTCGCCTGCTTAGCAAGGCTATCAGCAGCTAGATTTGCCTCCCGAAATATATGCAATACCTGCCATTGGTGATCTGCAAAGAAGTAGAGCTTAGCCCTACAGTTGGACAAGAGGATGCAAAGCCTCCATGGGGGAGAGTTGTGGTAGGTTAGGGGGAGGCAGCTGGCAACTTGGAGTCACTCTCAATGATAAAAGGGCGACAATCCATCTAATGCGCCAAGGAGGTACCTCGATCCCAGGCATGGAACTCAGTAGCATTATTGGAGCTGATTCCAAGAGGGATAGCAAAGGCCACTACGAAGCTACCTGTGTCATCCCTAATGATCCCCCCACATCCTACGGTGCATGCGTTGTGAAAGGACGAGCCATCGATATTGAGTTTAAAATACCCTATGGGTGGGATAAACCATGCAATTAGGATTGGGATGGAGGGGGTAGCGATGTGCCACTTAAGCATGAGGTTTATGGAAATATGAATCTCAGAGGGGTGAAAAGTCTAAACCCTTCCTTATGCTAATTTGCTCACAAAGTGAATGATGCGAACCAGGAGGTGCTCCCTGGAGGTCCTTCTCCCCTCATGAATACGTGCATTACGCTCGACCCACAAATGCCAAACAGTGGTGGAGAAGGTGGAAATCAAAATGTTTTTCATACCATTGGATTTGAACTGGAACTTTAGCCACTTCGCCAACAAATGATTATATATTGCTCAAGTGGTATATGCTTGCCAAATTTCTAAAGTATGGATCTCCAAAGAGTCTTCGAAAACCCACATTGCATAATGATATAGTCAGATGATTTTTTGTCTTATAGGCAGAAGGGGCATCCAGAGACCAAAGGGAGGCCCCTAGACTAGAGGAGACTCGTGGTGGGCAATCGGGAGTGCAGGGCAAGCCAAGTAAACCACTTTGCTCTAGCATGGGATGGGGTTTTCCAGAGAGCCTTGAAAGCTGGTTATATGGGCGCATTTTGTCTGATGTGGTCCCAAGCGTCCCTGACAGAGAATTTGCCATCGGTTGAGTAAATCCAAACTAGTTGATTCGGAAAGGGGTAGATAGGGAGCATATATGAATGAATCTCCTCCCATGCACAGATGAATGGAGTAGAGGTAAGTATCAGAAGAGTCCATTTTTGTCGTGTACCCTCAATATAATCTGAGGCCTTGGATTTTGCCAAGTTCCCAAAGGCCTCGTGAGCATCGGCACCATATAACTCCCATAAGGAGGACTCTGAAAGCCATGGATAAAAAATCCACAAGCTTACCATCACCAAGTTTCCATCTTACATTGCCTTGCAATCTACTGAAGCCCTTAAGTATACCCCTCCAAGCATGTGAGCAGGGTATTCCAGACCGACGAGTGGCGAAAGTACTTGTGTTTGAATAACTGGGAGATGAGAGAGGAGGGATTGGAGATGATTCTTCATGCTACCTTCATCGTGCCTGCCATATTAAAGTCATGAAGTCTACGAATCCCAAGGCCCCCTTCATCTGTTTTCTGACATATAGTATCTCAGTTCACCAAATGCAAACCCTTATTCTCTGAAATCCCTGCCCACAAAAGTTGCGTTGAATTCTTTCAATCATAGTGCAAGTACGGCTGGGGAAACAAAAGGAGAGCAACCAGTAAATAGAAGAAGCATTGAGAACTGATCTTAATAGTTGTAATCGTCCTGCAAATGACAAAGATAATGCTTGCCAAGAGCCAATCCGAGCAATGGCCTTCCTAATAAGATTATGACAGTGTGGATGCTTCAAGGGGCCATGAAAGAGGGGAAGTCCTAAGTATCTAGCCAGAAGGTCCCCCAAACCAAACTAAAGTTTTTGAAGCACTTGCGTTCTCAAACTGCTACTAACCCCAAAGAACATGACTTTGCTCTTGTGATGATTGAGTTTTTGACTTGTCACCCTACAAAAAATATCAATGATGTGCCTAATGGTCCTTGCCACTGATGTCGAAGCTTCGTTGAAGATGAGTGTGTCATCTGCATAAAGGAGGTGAGTGACCCCATAGTTGCACCCGGATGGGAAATGAGGAGGGAGTAATTTGGCGGCAGTAGTGGCATCGATCATTCTACTGAGATAGTCCATGACAAGGAGGAAGAGGTATGGGGATAGAGGGTCACCTTGCCTAAGGCCTCTCTCACTCTTGAAATAGCCCGCAGGGGATCCATTATGCAAGATAGAGAAAGATGGGGAGGTGATGCAATGCTGAACCCAGGTTATAAAAATGTCTGGAAACCCCATCGCATGTAATCTGTTGGATATGAATCCCCATGAGACTCTGTCATAGGCACTACTAAAGTCCAACTGAAGACACATATTCGGTCTGGTTGAATTCTTGTGGCACAAGGAGATCAGTTCATTGGCCATGAGGACATTATCAGTGATTAGTCTTTCTTTGAGAAATGCAGCTTGGCAAGAATGGATTAGTCCATCAAGTACCCTCCTCAGTCTGTTTGCCACTATCTTACTAATGATTTTGTACAAGACATTACAAAGGCCAATTGATCCAAAATCCCTTATAGTAGTGGGGCATGAGACTTTTGGAATCAAGCATATGAAGGTAGAATTAACGGCCTTGAGAAACTTTCCATTACCAAAGAAGTCTTTAACAGCACTTAAGAGATCACTCTTGATAACATCCCAGCTGACCTTATAAAACTCAACCCCGAAGCCATCTGGTCCCGGTGCACTTTCTGATTTCATATCCCATACGCACTTTCGAATTTCCTCCAAGGAGATTTCATTTGTTAATGCCTCACAATCTTCTTTTGTAAAGCACCTGTCTGAAAGGAAATATGCAATCGTGGGACCCATTAGGGTGTCTTCTTATGTCTCAATTACTAAAAGCTCCTCAAAATATACAATGATGTGGCTTTCAATGGCTTAGGGTCTAAAATTTGGTTGCCGGTGGAGTCTTTGAGGAAGAGGATTTTATCATGCTACCTTCTAACTATGGTGGACATGAAAAAATTTGGTATTAGAATCCCCCTCTTTAAGCCAATTTTCCCTTGATTTCTGTCTCCACACACTCTCCTCATGGGCTAGATATTGTGGCAATTGGGATGTAAGCTAAGCTTATTATGTGGTAAGGGAAATGTCGTTAGGATGTTCACTTAACATATTATGTAGGGTCGAGAGCCTATCTCTGGTCTCTCTTATCTTGGTGTCAATTAGTCCAAATGTCATTTTGTTCCATCTACTTATATCTCCATGCAATCTTTTGAGTTTGGCTGCAAATTTATACGTAGGGGTGCCCCCAAGCTTCACTCGCCAAGATTGTTTAATTTGGTCCATAAAATCCGGGGCATCTTGCCACATGGTGAAGTAGCGGAAAGGTTTAGGGCCAGGTGATGGTGTGGGGACAGGGGAGACAAGTAATGGGGAGTGGTCTGAGGTGCCTTTTGGTAAGAGTTCAACCTTGACCTTTGGCATTACCAACATCCATTATGTATTAGCCAGAGCTCTATCAAGTCGCTCTCGAATGCACCTAGACCCTGAACTGCTATTCGACCATGAGAACCATCCTCTCCAGGAACCCAAGTCAACAAGGGCACAGTCCACTAACATTTTTGCAAAACTCTCATTTCGACCACCAAGCTTCTCTGACCGGTTCAAAATAGAATTGAAATCCCCATGCATGAGCCATAACTTAACGATATTGAGCTTGATGTTCTGTAGGTAGTCCCACAAAACCTCTCTCTCTCCCGTTGAATTTCTACCATACACACCTGTAATGATGAATGACAGTCCAGTGCTGGGTCAAGACACATCCGCAGTAATAGCTTGGTCATGGATCATTAACAGTATAAATATTCGGTTTCCATAAAAGCATTATTTGTGACTTTCCATTTATCTCATTGATCACAAAGGAATTATAAAAACCAAGCCTCTTAGACCATCTTCCTGCTAGTGAAACTTACATTTTTGTTTCTAAAAAAAACACATTCCAATATCATAGTTTTTTATAAGAGTTCGAATATTTGATGCTGGACCATATTGATTCCTCCAACACAATACACACTTGAATTTATAGAAAAGGGGGAGGAGAGAATCGACAGTTTTCTCTTTTGTGGTCCATCCGAACCTACCCTATACTCTTTATTTTGGCATCCAAATAAAATCCGACCCTACCATATACTATTTATTTTGGCATCCAAATAAAATCCCGAGGCTGAGATAAATCACTTAGTCGACAGCTGGTCCGAACCTGCTCTAGTTTTTATATTGTAACGGTAACGGTTTCAGTGGTTAGTCTCGAGTTTCAACCTTCCATCTATGGCTGTGCTCTCCTTGCAATTCCTCCAAATTCCCCCTTTTTCTTCCCTAAAAATAACCCTTACTTCCCTTTCCAAACCACGAATTGGTGTTTCTTTGAGCTCAGGATGGTTAATGGAGAAAACCACCTTTGGAGTTTCTTCAATGGCGGGCTTATTTCTAGTGAGATGCAGATCTGAAGAGAGGGAAGCCATCGGTGAACCAGGAATTAAGGAGCTTTTATCTGGAATGGTGGATAAGAGGGTTGAAGAGCTTCTGAACAAGGAAGAGAACAAGGAGATTCTTGGAGACTTGGAAGAGGCGATTAGGAGAGTGGATGATGCGAAAATGGAGCTTAAAATCATAGAAAAACAGCAAAGGGAGACTCAGGAAATGAAGGCCTACATACGAAAGATGGAGGAGAGATCCTTAGAGGTTAGTGGCAATGCCTTTTTCTTTTTTTTTTTGTTAATTTCATGGTTTTGGTGCGAGGTTTGGAATTAGGGTTAGGTTTTCTTTTTTTTCTGGTTTGGTTATGAAACTGCTATTTTGGAATTGAAATTTTGGAATATTTTGAGAACGAGGGCTTAAAATTCAGGAATTTTGCGTGATACAGACTGAATTCAAGCGAAATAAATCACTATTTTTTAATGTCTCAATTGACCAAATTTAAAAACAAATAGGCGAATTTTTTCGTCAGGTAATTTTGGGGAGAAAAATCTGTTGTTGTGATGAATTTGTAGAATTTCCATCCAAATATACTACAAAAACTTGGCTTTACAAATTTTTCTTGAATTGCGCCTGATTTCAGAATATCTTGTTTGTAAATATATAGGAGTTTATCTTCGCAATATAGTAGAAACTAAAAGCCCTTGTGCTTAAAGAATTCAAGCTGAGTTTTGGCTGAAAATGGAAAGTCTATTAAAAAACTAATAATAAGTTAGAAACTTTCTTTGCCTTATTGCATTTGCTTCTTGATCTGTGCACCAGCATGCATTGACGTAATACATCCCTTTTCTCTCTGTTTTAATCCCTCTGAGAAAAATTGATGAATACTTTTTTGTTATCACTTTCTGGCAGCTGTAGTTTATCATTAGAGTATCCATGACTTCTGCTGGGTTTTTTAACAAGCTTTTATATTTTAGGAGCCTTGCCCATGTTGACAACCTTATATTCCATGGTGAAGTTGAAGTACCGTTTGAGAGAAGATGACATAATGAGTCGAGAAAATTTAACAATTTGGGACTATTGTATTGATTTGTTATCTTGGGGCTATCTCGTTAACTTTCTAATCAATAGTAGTTTTATCTTTTTTATCTTGGGGGCATGAAATAATAAGAGAGTAGGGGTGTAAGGGGATGGTCATATAGGATCCCTGTTACTGTGTGAGATGATGCCATTCAAGTAGTTTACTAGTTCCCATGTGGAAGGCAGCTTACCTATGTAAGTTTTTCGGTGAAGACTAATGCTTGGTGAGGTTCAAGTTTAACCAGGAAGAGGAGGGGTGGAAATGTCCTATTTGGGTTCGTTTCAGCTAACTGTACAGGACTCCTGGATTCTGATTGTGTAAGTGAGTTTGGAGGAGTTCTAATTGGGTTTGGAATTTATGACAAGTTTTGTATGATATATGGGTTGAAAAACCAAAAATATGGTATCAAAATACTAGAAGGCATGAGATTGCGTAAAGAATCTTTGGTGGTTGTGTTAGAGTTTGTGCATTTGTTGGTATGCTTGGAAATATAGGGGAGTATTCTTGATTCGTATTTTTGCATTTGCTTGTTGAATTTTAAGGATGTCTTGTGCAGTTGGCTTTTGATGGATGAAATTTTCTTTTCTCTTTGGTTTCTCCACGTATTTTATTCAAAATTATCAGAGTAGGGTTATTTTCAGTATAGCACCAGGACTGATGGTAGGGTGTTTAACTAGTATACTCAATCCCAATTCTTTTATGTTCGCTGATAATAATTCTTAGTCGGTGTTACTGGCAATGAGATATGCTAAAAACAAGCTTAGATATCATGTCATTTATGGTAACCCTAGTGGTACCTGGATCCAGTTATGAATATAGCTGATCATCGCCTTGCGGCTTTGGCAACATATATGGAGTCAAGGTTATGCATTGTTGATTAGCAGCCTACGTGGTAGTGAATCCAAGTCATGATGATGGATGTGTGGCACCATTATGGATTATTTCTCAGGGCCATTATAAAAGTTCGAAAGAAGATTAAGTGGATTTGTGCTTGCAGGAACAGAAATATGGTCTTTTCTACATTTTTCATATATTTTGCTTAATATATGTAATTACGCAGGTAATGAGACTATGGGAAATGCATATCAAGAAAGATTATCTTATATTATTTGCATTTGTTGGTTTTTTAAAATTGTTTAATTTGCTAATTATGTGATTAATGATTTCTATTAGTTTTTGGCATTAAATTGTAGATTATTAAGTTTTATCGTATTTTGAGGATAAATTTAAGTTGTTTTGATGCTATTTTATGAAAAGGCAAGTACTCTATGGGGTTGTGGTTTTATAAAGCCCACCTCAAATCTCTCAAGAATATGCATTTCCAACACTGGAAAACCTGCAAATTGATAATCACGACTTATACAATCATGGATTTGAAGCAAAAAGGATTTCAAACCCTACATGATTTATCTTGTAACATATTGTTTTATCCATCCATTTCAACTGTTCACTGATCCGCCAAATCCGAGCTTCAAATTTCATAGTCAGGGGTGGAGACAGATTTTCAGGCCATCACAAGATTTCCTATACCAAAACTAAATGGCCCAATGCGCTTTTGAGGCATGGCTTTACCAAATATCATAATGCCACAGCCTGATGAAAATTGTAACCTTAATAAAATAGTGTATCAGGAAGTTGATGGAAGATTTATACTCATATCCATATGTTTATGACGTTATAATTCCATACTCCTACTTCAGTCAAATTCTAGTTTTCCTAAGATTTGGGAACCCAAGTGCCTGGTGAATGAAAGGGAACATCATTGGAAAAAAAGAGATAATTATAATTTCCCTGACAGGCTCAATTTTGGGTGCCAAATGGGATTCCATTGTTCCAAGAGTCTCAATTCCCAGCTTGACTTCTTGACTTGATTTAAAACCCCACTATCTTTTGATCAATCTATTCTTACTTCTGTCTTTCCTTCTTTGAAAGATTGCAGAGTGTCAGAGGGACTTGTTAGCAGCAAAAGTCATGGTGGAGGAAGCTGAACGTTCGTTATCACAGAGCATAGATGGACTGAACTCAGGCAATGAGCTTTTAGAGGGTGAAATAGATGAGATGGATAGAGAAAGAGAGAGGTTGGAGTCAGTAAAAGCATCGTTAGTGTCATCCTTTGTGGGTTTGATCGCCTCCCTCCCTGTTTCCTTTTCTCGGCCGGTCAGTGGTCTGCAGCTTTCACTACATTTGGCATTTGCTTTTGTGGGTTGTGCTTTGTTTGGTGTGACCTTCCGCTATGCTGTGAGGAGGGACTTAGATAACATTCAACTGAAAACAGGAACAGTGACTGCTTTTGGTTTGATAAAAGGTATGAATATTCACTTTCTGTTTGTTAGTTTGGGAAAATATTCAGGGGTACACGCAGGGTTTCCATACAGTGCTTTAACTTCACACCAGCCATCGTCATACGTCCACTTGTTTCGACTTCTTTTCTTGACAGTCTTTTGAGTTGAGGAATGACACACCCCAGAAAATTCCCTTTTGCCATGGAATGGTTGGGGTGATGTTCAAGTACTGAGTGCGTGCTTCTATACGGATCCATATTTCAATAGAAGGCTTTAAATCTCAAGGAATAAGTATGAGATTATGATTCGTAGAAAATTGATTCTCAAGCCTTCATTTGAATTGTGGCATTCAAAGTTATGAATATGAAGCAAAAGAATATTCGAGACATGGGCTAGTCCGAACTTAAATTTGTTGCCGGAAATTGCAGGTTTGGCTGGACTAGAAGCAGGACTTCCCCCCAATTTTGACGGTGAGAAATTATGGTCACTTGCCTATGAAGGGGCTCTCCTCGTCTCTGAGAATATTTTTATTTTCTTATTTGCCAGCATTGCTCTAGATTTTTGCTTTAAAACAAGCCTTCTTAGCCCTTTCCCGATCCAAAAACGGCTTTCTGGAGCAGATCTGACTTCAGATTTGTGAGGCCATTTTTGGACTTCAGATTCATGTATAATTTTGTCAAGTTAAACTACTGTCGAAAATGGGAACAAAATTTAATTATTCAGGAAAATTATTAGAATATAAACAATTAATATTTCTTAAAGGAAAAGTTTTCTATAATTAAGTGGGTGCAAGAGCCCAATGCCCTTGGAAGTCCGTCTTAAAGATAAATATTGTGTAAAAGCGTCGGATTAAATAATACATAAACGGTGCAAAAAAAAATTTCCATAAAGCGCATCGGATCAAATAATAAATTAATGGTGCAAAAAAAAAATCCTCAAAAAAGCACATTGCAAAGCATTTTTTTTTTTTTCAAAAAAGCCCAGATCATAAAATCCCTAAAATTTTGGATCAAAGTTTATTTTCAAGGTGAATTTGCCTTCATTAAAAATAAGCGTGGAACATGGTGAAAATATATTTTCTGAAAGGACGAGGTTTCTAATGAGTCGGCAGACTCATCTATTCATTCATATCAGTTCTTCCGAAATCCATCTTAGAAATCAATTTTGGATTAAAAAATTTAGGCTTGATACCATGGTGAAGATGAATATAAATAAATAAAAAATAAAAAAATTTGATATATTTTTCTAGATCGCTGATTTAGAGATTTTAGTAGGACTACACCTTTTAACATCTATCTTTGAGATTGATGTTGGTTGCATCCGGGGACGCGCATGTAGAAGTGCGTCCTTCGATACACTCTACATTTTTGCTTTCCAAGGACAAGGTCTCCACGAGTCGGCCAACTCACAGGGTTTTAAAACCTTCATGCAGTTCAGTTCGGATATTTTAAAAATCGTTTTCTCTGCATTAGGGTTTTAAAAATCGTTTGCATCTGGGTTTAAAAATCGGCAAGTCCGTTTTGACGCGGGCGAGTCGAAACAGGAATCTTGCACCCTCAAAACGGGAATCTCGCACCCTGTGTCGCTCGAGTCGAAAGGGGAATCTCGCACCCTGTCGCCTGAGTCGAAACGGGAATCTCGCACCTTGTGTCGCTCGATTTTAAAGGAGAGTCGAAACGGGAATCTCGCACCCTGTGTCGCCCGATCTTAAAGGAGAGTCGAAATGGGAATCTCACACCTTGTGTTGCTCGATCTTAAAGGAGAGTCGAAACAGGAATCTCGCACCCTGTGTCGCTCGATTGCCCGATCTTAAAGGAGAGTTGAAACGGGAATCTCGCACCTTGTGTCGCCCGATCTTAAAGGAGAATTTGGAATGGGAATCTTGCAGCGTGTGTCGATCTTAAAGGAGAATTGGTCGCTTAGTGATGTCACATGGTGAGTCCTTACCTGAGGACATTTTGGACAATTTTTTCAAAATATCATTTCAGGTTACCATTTTTCTCCATAGCACTGGGATTAAAGCTTTTGTAAAGGTATATATATTTTATAGATTTTTTCCAATTCTTCGATGTGGGATTTACGCTAATTGATATTATATTGAAAATTCATACAATATAAGTATTGTACAAAATTCTTCAGCAGTGCGTGAATGGCTGCTGTGGTTAGCAGCTGAGGTTTTACGTGTGACTTTCCCAAGTTCGAATCCCAGTTGTGATGCTATTGTACAAAATTCACTTATTGTCTTCATAAAAAATTTTAAAAAATATATCCTAAAATAATAATAATAATAATAATATCATAAAAATAAAAAAAATGGAAAAAAAAGGTTTTTACTTTTGTCTTAAGAAAAAAAACTAAAATTTGTCTTCATAAAAAAGAAAAATTCACTTATTGTCTTCATAAAAAAATTTTAAAAATATATCATAAATTTTTTTTAAAAATAATATCATAAAAAAAAGGATAAATTTTTACTTTGTTTTAAAAAAAAACTAAAATGTAGAAAATAATATGATAAAAGAAATGAAAAAAATAAAAAGTAATACAAGCAAAAATAAAAAAGGTAATATAACATCTTCTTTTTTTTCTTGTTAAAAAAAAAAGAAAGTAATACAACAAATACCATATTTTCTCGTAAAAAAAAAATACAACAAGTATTTCTTGTCAAAAAAATAAAAAATATTTCTTAATACAACAAATATTTTTTAATACAAACTAGGAATAACTGATCTAATTATAATTTTTATTTTTATAATATGGTAAGCTTTAACACTAATTAGGAGTATTAATTTTAAGATATGATTCATACACATTTGAAATATTTCTTTGTCTCTAACAATCTCTTCCTTTAAATTTATTCTAGAATTCTAAAAAAGTATATTTTTAAAAATTTGAAGTGTTATTTCGAAAATTGATGCGCATTCGAATAATTTATATGTTGATAATCAAATATTTTATTTATTTATTTATTTGCTTAATAAATATTGTAATGTATTATTTTTCTTACAGTTGTCAATAATACATTTTAAACTAAATGATATTATAAAATATTTTAAATTTGTTATTATTTATATAATAAAATATAAACCAACAATTTTCGTCGCAATATATAATATTATAGTTAAATAGGTTATAATAATTTTGGATTATAGTTAGTTAGGTTGTAATAATTTGGTTTTTTTTTTTTCTAGTAGATTAGGTTTTTCCACCAATTCGAGATTTTAGTTGCCATTTTTTATCAGTTTAATCCATTTTTTATTGTAGTCTATGCATGATTATATACTTTATCCATGGTAATTCTATGTTTTTAATTTTATTTGATGCAAATTTAATGGTTAACAGAAGTTCATAAAGGAAAAGAACATCTTAATTATTCATAAATTGATTAAAAATGAAAGTTAATAATACCTATATTTCTTATTGAATTCTTAAAAAATAACATTTATAATAAATTTTTATACTTTTTTTGGATTTTTTTAGAAATTTAATAGGACCGATTCAGTCGATTCTTGACCCGAATCGCCAATTCATCGATTCAAATGGGTTTTTGAGATGCTCGATTCGAGCACCGATCCGTTTTTTAACCCACTGCTTTGCATCATGAGTGCTCACCTCAATGTTTCATTGCAGATAAAAAACTAACTTCATGAACCACTTGGGCATATGTAACGCATGATCTACTTCTGAAAATACCATTAAATACATTTATTTGCTACCTAACACTGTGACCTCTTTCTCCCCGTCGGAATGGAAAGCCCCAATACTTCCCCTGCCTCCGACCCCACCACCACAGACTCAATTCTCTCTCACAATGGAGCCGCGGTAAGAGTAATTAGATAAGCAACGGGAAAATAAGGGTAAGAGCATTGATTTAAAAAATGGATAGTTGACTCAGATCGAACACTTTAAAAATTGGTTTAAATCGGTGAATCAGCGGTCCAGATCACTGTTTTACTATACGGAAAAAATAGTGAACTATTGAAAAAACACATTAAAAAATAGTACACCGGCCAAAAACCGATCCAAATTTGTGAATCTGCGATTCTGATTGCTGTTTTACTGTAGAGAATCGTCATTTTATTGTGCAGAACCACCGGTTCCCTTTTAGATTTGGCCGTATTCCTATATATACAGAACTGGAATAGGATGACCGATTCCCAATACGGACTGGGCAATTTTGTGCCGATCAAGCGTTTTCTAAATCATTAAATAAGAAAGAAAGAGAGTAGATTTTAATTTTCGAATAACATATTTCAGAATAATTTAAGATTTTTTTAAATTTATTTTGGACAATTTTGATAAGCGAAAGCGAAACCATTGAGGTGACAATTGACACGATAAGGGTCATCATGGAGGTGTCATGTGTACTCTATAACCCTATAAAGACCCAAATCTTTTCTCATTTTGGGTAGAAGTCTTTCAAAGTTGGAAAAGCATGTCAAGACACTACTTACTTACTTTTAGCAGGAGGAGTTTACAATCAGGGGCAGTTGTCAAAATATCACTGACTAGATTCAAAGTTTTAAAAACAAAATTTTTCAAACTTCATGATACACTATAAACCATCCAATTTGGTGTCTAATGGCTTGAGTAATTGTGACCTCTTTGTAAGAAAGATAAATAGTTTCATAGTGTACAATCTTTTTTTATTTATGTACAACATTCTCACTCAACTATTTTTTCTCGACCTATTGATCTCTCCATGTCAATCAAGGTCTGTGGTGCTAATTTCAACTAGATTCATGCCCAACTGAGATCGAATTTTATATATTGATTTGTAGATAAATTACTATAATAGCATTTTAGAAGGGTTTTAGGGCATGCAATCCAAATACTTGAAAAGTAATTTGTGAATTAATCGTATCTTGGGAGTATGCTCACCTAAACTTGGTTTCGTATTGGGGCATTTAGCAAGACAAAGATGTTCAATACTTCAAAGAAAGTGAGATCATCTTGTGTCCCTAATTTTGAGATTATAATACATCTTGGATCGGACCTGTCATGATTGTCTTTTTTTATTTGGTACTTGGGCCTGCCTTTTTGAAGAACTGTATAGAAGAGAACTTATCTCACCCCATGGTAACTGGACTAGATCTATTGGCAGAACTAGAAATCGAGAAATCTGATATTTTAAGGACAAGATTAGATTTGACCTAGGGGATCTCTATCACATTGAACTCAAGAGCTCAAAAATTCCAATAGAGAGAGACTGAGAGAGGTGTCAAAGGTTTTCCGTAGATATTGGGTTTGGGTTTCAAGATAACCTCTTTTAGTAGAGATAGAAGAATTTTTAAGCCTTGGGTCCCGGGAGGGTAGAAATAACTTATGTAGACACTTCCATTGAAATTTTGGCCAATTGTAGACACCCCTACAAAATTATGGCCAACAAAAATCCCCAAACTTGTATCCTTGTGCCCTAGTCACATTCTCAAACTTAAACTCGATACTTTAAACATACCAAGACTCTAAACTAGTCATCCTAAACACCCCGGTGCATATTAACCCGAAATACCTATCCAATGCCTGAAAAACAGAAAGTTGAGACCCTGAAGTCTTAGTCTTGTTTGCTGCTCAAAAGTCACTCAAAATGGGTTACATTTGATTCATAACACACCTTACACGAAGGCATAAAAGAAGAAGCTTGCTTTCTACTTTGATCTCTATTAGAGCTCTTCTCTTCTACGTTCTAGATTTCCACCATTGAAGTTGCAAA